CTGTGCCCTGTGCCATAGTGAATTGCAGGGGTGGTGGCTCTGTGAATGCCAGTGTGGGTCACGCGCTGTGACGTGCAGAGGAGGAGACTGTGCTTCTGAGTAGGCCACTCCTGCAACTGACCTCTCTGTCCTGTTTTGTGAGATCTTGCCCATGTTATGAGAGTCCACCTGCTTTTTAGCAGGAAAAATCATGACCCAATCACTCTAGGTTTGCCTTCTACGTTGTGCTATTCATTGATTCAATAGCCTTTCTTAGGCATAAACTTTTGAAATTTCCCCATTCAAATGAGGTCCCTCCCAAGGGGGTGAGCTGCAGCACTGAAAATGCTTTCTTTCCATCTCTGGTTGGCTATCTGTTCTCATTGATTCCTGGACTTAAATTTCAGCCTGATTGTCAGTATTTATTTTAAGCAGTCAGCCTGGACTTCATTGACATGGCAGTGTTTTAGAGAATCCAGTTGTAGGTCAAATGTCTGGATTTTCAAAGAGCGTAAGTTTAAGTTTCTGACCTGAACTCGGGAGACTAAAGGTTGTCACTAAAAACAGCCATCTTTATGGAGGGTGGACGGGGAGAAGGTATTTAGAAATGGGGCTTTCTCCTAATGTGATTAAAGGAGACCAGCAGCTCCAATTCAATTCAAAGGCAACTCAGTGAGGGCCCAGTAAGGGTCTAATGCTGCACTCATCACTGGAGTCTCCAGCTTTTGTCTGAAAGTCTACCTGCTCCCAAAAGAGTATTAATTGAGCACTTACTATCTGACCAGCCCTGTGCCAAGTGCTGTGTGGGATCTAGCGGTGGTGGTGGTGGTGGTGACCTAACGTATAGGACCTTGTAGATGCTTCTGGCTTTCAGCTCTACAAGCTGCATCCAGACAGAGGGTTTCTGTAGCTGAGCCTGACCAGTCCACCAGTAAGAAGGGGCTGGCATTGTTTTGCTGTCACAATCCTGGTATCTGAAGCACCTGGAATGAGCTGGCTTTTTGCCTTTAGTACTCTAGTTCCCCAGCTCGGGCTAGAACTCTGTCCTAAACCCTACTTCTCTTAACTGGGGTTCAGGCAGCCAATCTCTCTTGCCACCTTCTTGCCACTGCCCCGTGTATCTCCAGCAGGGGATCTGCTCTCATCTGGATGGCCACCGGCTTCCACCCAGCCCCCGTCCCAGCCCTGCAAACAAGCAAGACCAACTCGGACTCATCATTGTCAGGATTTCTCCTGATGCCCTCAACCTGTTTCCACTTCTGTCTTTCCCCCTCAGGGAAGGGCACCTTCTCCACCCAAGCACCCAACTAGAAACCTGAGAATCATCTTAAATCGTTTCCTCTCTCTCACCACCATCATCCAAATAAAGGTGATTTGTGACCTCTCGAATCTCCTGGTTTCTCCCATTCCCAGTTACAACCTTAGTTCAGCGCACACGTGTCTGCTTTGCTCACCGTCTCAGTCTCTGCACCCAGCACAGGACCTGTCCAATGGTTGCTCATACCGTTTGCGGAATGGAAGATGTGAGTGAGAGTGAGTGAGCCAGTGGAGACCTGCCAGGATGACCTGACCCTTGTTTACCATTTTTTTTTGTTTGAGACGAGTCTCACACTGTCGCCAGGGCTGGAGTGCAATGGCGTGATCTCAGCTCACTGCAACTTCCGCCTCCCAGGTTCACGCGATTTTCCTACCTCAGCCTCCTGAGTAGCTGGGATTACAGGTACACGCCACCACACCCGGCTAATTTTTTGTATTTTTAGTAGAGATGGGGTTCACTATGTTGGCCAGACTGGTCTCGAACTTCTGACCTTGTGATCTGCCCGCCTCAGCCTCCCAAAGTTCTGGAATTACGGGCGTGAGCTTGGCCTGACCTTTGTTGGCCTCTTAAGCTTCATCTCTCTCCTTCACTGCCACTTGCCCTTTATCTGGAAGCTCTCCTGAGCTCCTGGAAGCTCCCTACCTGTACCGCCTGGGTTCCTGTCCACTTCCTCCAGAAGTCTCCTATTCTCCTGTCTGAATTAGATGGTCCCTCTGTGCCCCCAGTGCCACCCATCTACAGTCCATTTCCTGGGGAGCACACATCCCACGAGGCTGGCATTGCCTGTTTGCATATCAAGTGTTCTGTCTTGATGCTAAGTTTCAGGAAGCAGGCTCTGTGTTTTATGCATTGCTGCATTTCCAGCACTTAACACAAAGTAGGCGCTCCTTGAATATTTGTCGACCAAAGGTCTAGAAACTCCTGCTTCTGTGCCTCACTGCTTCCTGCCCCACGTCTCTCCCTCAGCCCTCCACCTCAGATCCAGCTGGCTTCTGGCACTGATCACTCTGAGGTGCGCTGCTGTCCGTGGGCCAGCTCCATGTGGCAGTGTGTTTCGGGTGCTGGCGCCACCCATTCCGTTCTTCTCCATGACAGGTCGCTTGGTGCAGAGCGTCCTAGTCATAACAATACGACAGGCCTTCCTAGCCCTGGACCTACCAGAGTTTACCTGGTGCTTGTGGCCTCTCCTGGCATCTTCTGACCAGGTCCCCATGGTGTTTTGTGCTGATCCCTTCACTGGCCTGTGAATGTTTCTGGGGCAGGGGTGACATCCAATTGGTCTCTGTCCACTGGTCCCCCTGTCCCCCTCCTCACAGCACCTAGAACAAGGGCTTGTTTGTGCATAGTAGGTTCCCAGGAAAGGGTTCTTTCAGATCCATCTGAGGGCTGGAGGGACTTAGGGAGGGGTGGGGCTCTGGGAATTCGGATGGCAGAAGGAGAGCTTTGGAGGAGAGGGAGGAGGAGCTGCTCCTCACCCAGCGTGCGGTGAAGGCAGAGCTCATGTGAAGGACTGTGGCAGGAATAGCAGTGCAATAAGGCGCAGTGGCGGGGCGGAGCCAGGAGAACAGAATGGCGGCATCAGTGCCACATCAGTCCAGCCCGAGGCCTCTTGGGTGGACAGATGACCAGGTCTCAGGCCCAGGCTTCCTGTGCAGCAAGGCGCCTTGGGCTGGGTGCTGGTGCTGGCTGCTGCTCTCCTCCCCACCACAGGGGCCCTGGGGAAATGGTGCCTTGCTTTCCCCATATGGGTGCCTCTCATCCTTTTCATCAAACTAACAACCACAACCACAAAGTGCTTTATGTCCTCTCCAACAAGGCCCTGAGCCAAAGTTTGCTGTCTTCCTCACCATCACCGCCACCAACTTCCTCACCGTCACCGCCA